TCTGCCCGCCTCGGCCTCCCAGAGTGCTAGGATTACAGGCATGAGCCACCATGCCCGGCCTGCTTTAATTTTTTAAAACAATTTTTTGTAAGCAGAAAATAAAACCCAGAATTAAAAACCCCAAAAGCAGTCATATTTTTAAAAAGCTAATGTATGTGGATTTGAGAGTGGCATATCTGTTAAACATCATAAAGCCCTTTGTAACTGTAATGGTTCGTCTCTGTGGGGATTCATGGATAATATCACTTTTTTTTTTCTTTTTTTAGTCAGTATTTACAGGATGAAAGTAAGACCAAAAGAAATATTGATCTGAATCTTTTAGAGTGGACCCACTACAGCATGAAGCCGCATGTAAGTGATGATCCTCTATATCTGACATACTTTGTTGCATTTAATAATAGTATCATATTATTCAGATCTGGCCCCCTTCCGCTCCTCATGCCCTCCCTCCCTTAAGCATGCATTCTCTTAAAGTATACGTCTTAAGAATAACCTACTTCTAAATCCTTAGTAATTAATTTAACCAAGATGGTTTCTTAGTTTTTATCTTACTGTTCTAAATGTAAATGTTAACTATATGCTAGCACATTTCTTATAATATTGGGGGAAAAAAACCCAGTAAATTCAAAATTCTTGTCTAAAATTTATCTACAAATTTGTTTATTTAGGTCTTAAGGGTCCCATGCCATGGGTCATCAAGAGTCAAGTATGCTGGTTGTGAATGTGCTTTGTGTTTTGCCAGATTTGAATCTCATTCAGTGTTTGAAAATGCATCCATCTTTGAATCTTAATGGCTTTCCTTTAAAGTAAGCTACATGAATTCAGTTTTAACCCTAACGTGTATAATTGCACAATCATCTTCATCCAAAAGAATTTTAATTTCCAAGCTAAATAACTTAAAGGTTAAGCTTTGAAATTTCCTGAGGAGAGCACAGGTGTACTCATCTGTTAGGATGAATATTGTGTTCTAGTATGGGAAATGTAATAAAGAAAACAAATTCTCTTCCTTTGTATATTGGAGTCTGTAGTTCTGTCCACTTTGAGAGATGCTGGGCTCTGGAGAAAAGTGTGAGGTACCTGCATATGTACGGGTGGTTTGTGTGTTTAAACAATCCTTTTTATAATAATCAACTGCATTTCTTTGAATTAGTGTGCTTTCCAGCAGTGGAATCAGCCTCTCCCATATTATCTTGTGCTACTTATAACTGACAGCCAAAGTGTGTAAAGGACTGGCCAAGGTTAGGGCACCACATGCCTGGGGATCGTGTGAGCTTGCCTTTTGTGGGTTTGGAATGAACCTTTGGCTTATTATGTTCTTAGCCGTGCTTGCAGCAAGTTTTGGTTTTGCCTCAGGACAAACTCAGGACAGAACTGAGCAATCAAGGCAAGATCCTAATTGATTAAAGCCTATCTAGAGGCTTTTTTCTCTGTCCTACTCGAAGCTGTGGAGGTCCAAAGCAATAGTAGTATTTTCCTAGCTAGGGAAGAGAAATGAAATTTCTGATTAAGCCACACACACTTAGCCTGTTGTAAGATTTATAAATGCTTCTGAAATAATTCTGACTGGCATTCCTGGTAGTAAACCTCTTTTCAGTTTGGTTTCTTTGAATGAGAGCTAAGAGATGGAACTCTCACTTTGCTTTTTTCTCTTCTGAAAAACATTTTCAGTGGGGGTCACGTATTTGGTTAGGGTTTTTATACCACATAGAGTAAGACTAATTGTGTTTGTAGTGTGTGTCTGTGTGTTTGTGTAATACAGGATTTAATATTTATCTTTATAATATTGTTTATCCACAGAGATAGATAGAAAAAGTCCAAGGAGTTTGTATTTGATGTTTTACCCCTTCCTCCCTTCTTTTTTTTGTATTTTATAATTTTAGGAGATTCCTCAACAGTTGAATGGGAGTGATTGTGGAATGTTTACTTGTAAATATGCAGACTATATCTCTAGGGACAAACCTATCACATTTACTCAGGTGAGTGAAGACCCCTCCTCATCCACTGACTTGCTATTGGAAGGTAAACTTAAAGCACTTAGCCAGCACCTGGCACACATTAAGCTCTCAATAATAGTTATTATTGCTATAAATCTTGGCCATAGCCCTCTTGACAGAATCGGAGTTTGTCATTTCATCTGCTCTCAAGTTTATCCTTGTCTTGCATGACTAATGTGCAGTTTACATATCTCTTAACTCCATCGTTCACTGGTTCCTGTGTATTACTGATACTGTTAGCCAAAGAAGGGGGCATGTCAATATATTAATATATTATATTAAAAAATATAAAAAATCAGGCCTTATGAGAACTGAAGCTGTAGGTCTAAGATATAACTGAGTACTGCTTTTTCCTTTCTGTTCTGGTTAATTTTGATTCTCCATGGCTCAGCATTTGAATTGAAACTCAAGTATGTCAGGAATTCTTGAGAATTTATGTTTGTAACAGTGGATTCTCAATCTTTTTATTACTGAGGACAACCCCCATTAAAAAATAATTTTCATCAACAGACCTCATTTTGATAGGTATTGTCTACCAAACAAACCGTATTTATTGAGTAGTAGGACTGATAACCCTATTCCAAGCTTCTGAGCAACGTGAAGTAACTAGGGCTCCCATGCTGACCAGTCTAAAGTTAGTCTCAGCAGTTTTAATAGGAAAAAATATGCAATTTTTTATTAGATGTTTTGAATTATTTAAAATAAGAATCATGTGTTAAGACTTTTTAGCTCCCACTCCCACCCCCAGGTATAAAATTACTAGTTTATAGTAAAGTGGTATATCCAACTATTTATAATAGGATACCAGGAGTACTTTAAGGATGTGAACTTCTGATTTCATCAAAAAAGGGACTTGGTTGAGTTACAGGTAATTCTGGAGTTGTCTTGTATGTTGCTATTGTGAAAATTGGCCCATGTAGTGATTATCAGTTAAAGTAGAATAATATATTGAGCAAAACAATTCATTCTTTTTTTTTGAGATAGAGTCTCACTGTAGTCTCACCCAGGCTAGAGTGTGGTGGTGTCATCATAGATCACTGCAACCTCAAATTCCTAGGCTCAAGTGATCCTCCTGCCTCAGCCTCCCAAGTAGCTGGGAGTACAGGCACGTGCCACCATACCCAACTAAGCTTCCAGAGTACCTAGGATTACAGGCACACACCACCACGCCTTGCTAGTTTTTTCTAGTCTTAGCAGAGACAGGGTCTCACTGTTGCTCAGGATGGTCTTGAATGCCTGAGCTCACGTGATCCTCCTGCCTCGGTCTCCCAGAGTGCTAGGATTTATAGGCCTGAGCCAGTGCACCTGACCAAAACAATTTATTCTTTGATGTTGTCAAATAGCAAGGAGTTGATTGTTCTCTGAACCTTATGACATGGGATATCAGAGAGAAGTTGCTATTGGAACAGAATTGGCAATGTGTAATATTTGGTGGAGCAGAAAGAAATTTGTAGATTTGCTTTTGTTTCCTTTATTTTAATAAAGTTCATTCATGTTTTTCTCATGTAAAAGCAGACTATGTTCATTTTAGAATGTTTTGAAAATACATATAAATAGAAAAGTTACCTGTTGTGTCATCACTTGGATATTTCCATTTTTGGTACATGTTTTTATTTTGAAGTTGTACTGTTCCACAGAATCTGTTGTATAATTCTGCATCCTACTTCGGTTTTCCTTTTTTTTTTTTTTTTTTTTGAGACAGAGTCTCACTCTTTTTGCCCAGGCTAGAGTGCCGTGGCGTCATCCTAGCTCACAGCAACCTCAAACTCCTGGGCTCAAGCAATCCTTCTGCCTCAGCCTCCCAAGTAGCTGGGACTACAGGCATGCGCCACCATGCCCGGCTAGTTTTTTCTATATATTTTTAGTTGTCCAGTTAATTTCTTTCTATTTTTTTTTTTTTAGTAGAGACGGGGTCTCGCTCTTGCTCAGGCTGGTTTCGAACTCCTGAGCTCAAACAATCCGCCCGCCTCGGCCTCCCAGAGAGCTAGGATTATAGGCGTGAGCCACCACGCCCAGCCCCTGCTTCGGTTTTCCTTAACATGTAAAAATGCTTATGGTATGTAAGATATAATTATAAACATTATAGGCCTTTTTTATGGCTTTATAACTATGGGCCCTGATGTAACATTTTCAGTGCTTACATAAAGGGACATGGACCTCCTTCCTTATTTACATGATTACACCTGAAGGCTGTCATGCTGTGCACATCAGTGTGTAATGCACGTGTTGTCTGTGGAATTCTTTACAGCACCAGATGCCTCTCTTCCGGAAGAAGATGGTGTGGGAAATCCTTCATCAGCAGTTGCTGTGAGAATGCCCTGCCTGGTCCCTCTAGCTGCTGGTGGTTCTTTCATGGACGTTTCCATATACCTCATGCATTGTGGGTTAAAAAGTCCCTGCATCACTTCTGTTCTCTCACAGGTACTGAGCTGTCAAGTGCATGAAAGCCTCTCTACACCCTAGTCCTGACTTGGGGTGCAGAGGGCTGCTTGCAACCCTGTTTGTAAGGCTGTGCCTGCTCAGTCCTGGACTATTCAACCCACACAAGAACAAACGCTAATTAATTCTTTTTTTTTTTAAAGATTTTTTTTTCCCTATGAATGTGGGAAATGCAGGATTTATTCTGTGAATTGTTTTTTTCTGTGTGTTTGTTCAGTGTATTCATTCGCTCATTTGCAAATATAGTGGGCAGTGGCCATTTACCGCTGCTCTCTTACAGTTAGCTCTCAACTACTTGTTTGAACTATTTATTTCTGAAAGGAATGTTAATCAACTGCCACTCCCTGCTGAACATCAGGAGGGAAATGATTGGGGGCAGAAGGAAGTGTTAATTAACTTCTCTAACGCCGGAGCAGTAACTGCCAACTTGAAGCTCAAGGGTTTCTTTGAGGCTTGAAAATGCCAAGAGAAATGAAAATGCTGTGGTGTAGGGCTCTGGTTGCCTTTCAGAGGAAGTCTGACACTACAGCATGGTCACAGTGTCATGGAAAAGTGGAACTGTGCACGAGGGACTCTGTCTGGCTATCCAAGCGTCTTCAGAAGAGTGTCGTGGTCATCTTAAAGAGACTTCCCTTTCTGGAAATGAGGTGACTTGGCTTACTCTTGAAACTGGATTCGAAGTAACTGTAAACCCTAAATCTTCATTTTTATCCCAGACCTGGTAGAGTATAAACCTCAGAATTATAAGGGCTGGCCTGAGCTGTTTATTTCAAAAGAATACTATTCAATTTAAAGCTATTTTTCCTCAAAGTTTTTTTTCTATATATTAAGCCGAAATTAAAAATTAAGTTTTATACACGTTAAGATTAGCGTCCTCACACTCCACCCCCACTGAAATTTGTGGAAGAAAATTTAGTACTTGGCTCTGAGGTTGCCAGTTACACAATAATCTATTTTGCATATAAAAGTTTGTATTTAACTTTTTTGTTCATTAAAAACCTTACAGATGTGGTTATGCATTTTTAATTTCAGAAAGTTTAGAGTTGGTCAGAACATATTTTGCAAGATCTAGTGCCTAGTGTTGCTTTTCTGATGTAATAAAAGGTTGTCTGGCAGAACCTGAAAAGTATATGCTGAAATGATTTCTGACCCTTTCCCTACTTAAACCTCCCAAACTTGTTCTGGTACATAAAAGCAAGAGGTAAAACTGGAAAAATTGGGCATGTGTTAGCTGTGAATCTACATGTTTGCCATTGGGAGGGCCCAGGCTGCTGGCCACAGAGGCATACTGGTTGTAGCTATTGCAGCCAGTTTTCCCTGAGACTTATAAAAGTCTTGGTACAGGATGTGGGGCTTGTGATATGGATTGAAACTGCTGGGTCTACTTGATGGTCAGGTCAGAGGCCATGAAGTTAGGTGATGATTACAGTAGGAGCTGGTTGTACTAAATCTCTCTCAACCTTAGTTTGCACAGAGAACCCTTCCTGTAGCCCCTGTTCCTTTCCCTGGGGCTCCTGGAGCTGTGCCAGTGAGAGTATTAGGGTCAGGCAGTTGGCACAGACAAAAAGGGCCAGAGGTTTACTGGGTCAGCATTATACTGAACACGCAGTTCCCACCGGCTGTTAGTGTGCTTCACCTGAGAGTTTAGTACCTTGGTTAAGATGTATTTCATGTTAGGTAAATCCTGTTAGAAATGGTAGTCTGTATTCTGCCCAAATGAGTGATGCTGAGGGTTAATGTGGTATTTGAAGGGCTTCTTTTTTTTTTGAGACAAAGTCTCGCTCTGTTGCCTGGGCTAGAGTGCAGTGGCATCATCATAGCTCACTGCAACCTCAAATTCTCGAATCCCCAGGCTCAAGGGATCCTCCTGCCTCAGCCTATAGATAGTAGCTGGGACTACAGGCGCCACGCCACCAAGCCAAGCTAATTTTTCTATTTTTTGTAGAGATGGGGGTCCTGCTACGTTGCACAAGCTGGGCGAGGGTTTCTTAAGAGCAACTTTCACTGTGCTTTCCATTAAAGTATACTCTTCAGGATAGCTCTTATTAATCTTCCAGGACATTGTGAAATTGGGAAGAGCAGAGCATTAAGCTAGAGCATGGCCTTCTGCTTGACCCTGAGTTCCTGAATTTAATGTGAGCTACTGCAGGCCATGCGTTTCTAGGCACTGATGTTTCTCCCTTGGTACAAAGAAACTTGTTGGTAATATAATTTTTATATCCAGTTTATGAAAGAAGTGTTCAGGTGAAAAAAAAACTATTGCTTTTATTAGTAGCAAATTATCAACATGAAAGCCAGTGATTTTTTTCTTGTTTTAATTGCAGTGGTTTGGGGGTCTTAAAAAAGGTGAACCATCTTTTTGGTAGGTAGTCTCTCTTAAAAATTGATAAAGATTTAAAAAAAAAATACTGTTGGTGAGGAAGTATTTTTCTCATGCTTGATCTTGTACCAGAGCTGGATGGGGGTGGGAGGGAAGTAGACTTGGGGCATAGGGAAAATGTTCTCGGAGTCCCACGTTCTACCTCAGTTACCTAAGGCTGTTAGAAACCTCTGATCTCTTCCTCCTCTGAAATCCTAAGCACAACTTTGGGGAATACCATGTCGCATGGCGGCTGTTTGCCTACACAGTGAGGAGTCGCCTGGTGCTGGGACCAAGGTGTGGGTGTGGGTAGAATGCGTCCTTAGAGAAGAAGTAGTGGACCTCAGATATGAATAAATAAGCAATATAGAGAAAGTTCAGTTTGTGATAACCTTAGTACTGTAGTTAAGCTGCATTGTTTGAATTGGCTTTTGTGAATTGGGAACCTAATCTCTGTTTGAGAAAAACTCGAAGCACCTGATAAACGAACTCATGGTATGTAACTCATTTGTAAGTTGGGGATCTAGCTGGCTGTATTGCTTTGGTAATTTTTTCTTTTAATTTACCGAACATATACAAGGAAGGAGTTTGAATATATTGAAATAGGTGTTGATTTTATCTATTTACCAATAAATTTATCTCTTTAATTTAGTGGCTTTAAATTTTTTTTGATTGCAACTCATAGTAATAAATGTATTTATGTTGTGACCAGTGCACACACATACACACACATATATACTATGTAATTAAACATGGACATAGAAGTTTGACAAAATAATACTTACCCTTATTCTACTCAGGTGACTTTATTTCAGGTTTTTCTTTTTTTCTTTTTTTTAAGAGACTGTGTCTTGCTGTGTTGCCCAGGCTGGCCTGGAACTCTGGCTGGAACTTCAGGCACATGTGCCACCACACCTGGCCATTAGTTATTTAAAAATATGAGACAGTTCATCAGAGCCCAGTTCACACACACGAAGCCGTGTCCACGTAGGGTGGGACAGGATGCCATCCTGGCAAGGATGGTCTCGTGCTCATTCTGCCTTTGGGAGGCTCAAGTGAGCTGAGCCAGGTGTGAAGTAATCCAGCACTTAGGTTCTCTGAAAATGGGCTGCTGGGAGAAAGCCTTTCCTTAGAAACAAGGCCAGCTAGTCTTGCTCCCGTCTTCTGCCTCTCCGTGGGGTCTCCCATTCATGGCTGCAAGCCAAGGACAATTTATGGGTGCTTTGTACCAGGGCAAATCAGGCATCATCTTGCAGCTCCTGCCCTGTCTTTCTCACACATGTTCATAGACAAGTATTTTGGAAAAGGGCACTTTAGGAGCTAAACCTGAAATTCTGCCACCTAGAATAAAGGCCAAGGAATGAAACCTGAGGGGTGGAGCCAAGAGGGCCTGTTTTTTTGGAGGTTCTTGTGTCACTGCTCTCCCTCCGATGTCTCATCTCGAGAATCACTACAAAGCCCTTGGCTCTATAGTTAAGGCCTCTCCTTTAAAGATGTGCTGCTTTTCTCCCTGTTCATCTGACAGACATCTCAACCTAGGCAGCAGCTTGCAGGTATAACCTTGGTTGCCAGGACCCCCCTGGCTTCTCTGGGCTGTGAACCTGTGGCTCGAGAGGGCAGTGGGCTTGAGTCCTCACTGGGGGAGGGGGAAGGTGGAGCTACAAGCACAGGGGTTTCTAATGGCCACACAGTCTGTCCCTTTCCACATTCATGCCAACCACAGCAGTGAGAATAACAGTGAGGGAACAGCTGGACATCTATATGCCATTAAACTTTACAAGTGATCCGCATCACTGAAATTGGAAATAATGAGAAAATCAGTGAGGAACACATTTTAAGTGATTTATAGGGGGAATGTGGCCATTCTGGAATCCCATCAGTATCACCACCATCTGCCCCTGCTGTGCTGTGGAACAGTCATCTCAAAAAGCCTAACTGGCCACCTCTGGCAGTCAAGTATTAGCTCTTTATTCCTAAGGCTACTTGGAGGTTTGGCAGCCTTCTCTGGTAGGCTCCAAAAGTCCATGAAGATAAACTTAGAAATGGTGCAGGACCATCTTCTTCCACCTCTTCACAGCACACTGGGGGCAGTGCTGGGTGCAGCATCCACTTCTCCAGTCCAAGGCTGATCCTGCCCTTCTCTGATCTCCCAGAATACAGGCATACCTCAGTTTTACTGTGAACTGCTTTACTGCACTTCAAAGATACTGCAGTTTTTACACATTGAAGGTTTGTGGTAGCCCTGTGTTGAGCAAATCTATTGGTGCCATTTTTCCAACAGCATGTGCTCACTTCATGCCTGTGTCTCATTTTGGTAATTCTTGAAATATTTCAAACTGTTTCATTATTATTGTATCTGTTATGGTGATCTGTGATCAGTGATCTTTGATGTTACTATCGTAATGGGGTGCTACAAACCACAGCTATGTTAGATGGCAAACTTAATTGATCAACGTTGTGCATGTTCTGACTGCCCCATAGACTGGCTGTTACTGTTTCTCCCTCTCCTCGGAACTCCTTATTCCCTGAGACAACAATAGCCAAACAGCATTATTGCTGATAAGGAGAAAGTTTTAGTGGACTGGATAGAAGATCAAATGAGACAACATTCCCTTAAGTGAAAGCCTAATCCAGAGCAAGGCCCTAACTCTCTTCAATTCTGTGAAGACTGAGAGAGGTGAGGAAGCTGCAGAAGAAAAGTTGGAAGCGAGCAGAGGTTGGTTCATGAGGTTTAAGGAAAGAAGCCCTCTCCATAGAAGTGCAAGGTGAAGCAGCAAGGGCTGATGTAGAAGCTACAGCAGATTATCTAGATTAAGATCTAGCTAAGATAACTGATGAAAGTGGCTACACTAAACACTTTCAGTGCAAATAAATATATTTTCTTCCATTGGAAGAAGATGCCATCTGGTTTTTTTTTTTTTTTTTTTTTTTGAGACAGAGTCTCACTTTGTTGCCCGGGCTAGAGTGCCGTGGCGTCAGCCTAGCTCACAGCAACCTCAAACTCCTGGGCCCAAGCGATCCTCCTGCCTCAGCCTCCCGAGTAGCTGGGACTACAGGCATGTGCCACCATGCCTGGCTAATTTTTTTCCTCTATATTTTTAGCTGTCCAATTAATTTCTTTCTATTTTTGGTAGAGACGGGGTCTCACTCTTGCTCAGGCTGGTCTCGAACTCCTGAGCTCAAACAATCCGCCCGCCTCGGCCTCCCAGAGTGCTAGGATTACAGGTGTGAGCCACCGCGCCCGGCCTCATCTAGTACTTTTATAGCTAGAGATATGCCTGGCTTCAAAGAACAGCCCTTTTTTTTTTTTTGAGACAGAGTCTCACTGTATTGCCCGGGCTAGAGTGCCATGTCATCCTAGCTCACAGCAACCTCAAACTCCTGGGCTCAAGCGATCCTCCTGCCTCAGCCTCCCAGAGAGCTAGGATTACAGACATGAGCCACCGCGCCCAGCCAGCCTGACTCTCTTGTTAGGGGCTAATGCAGTTGGTGACTTTAAGTTGAAGTCAGTGCTCATTTACCAATCCAAAAATTCTAGGACCCTTAAGAATAACGCTGTGCTCTGTAAAGGGAACAACAAAGCCTGGATGCCAGCACATCTGTTTACAAAAGCCACTATTGAGATCTACTGCTCAGAAAAAAAGATTGCTTTCGAAATATTATTGTTCATTGACAATGCACCTGGTCACCCAAGAGCTCTGAAGGAGATACATAAGGAGAGTAATGTAGTTTTCGTGCCTGCTATCACAAATCCATTCAGCA